CAGTGAATGGTTGGGACTCTATAGGAGAGGGGGTGGGGGGTTGAGTGACTGACACTTGAGACACCTTTCTCGCTTTTTTGCCCTTTTCCTGTCTGCCAATAGTTTTTCCTTTAGGATGATGTCTGATAGTTTTTATAGTTTTTCAGCCTGAAGCTCGGTCTCGGTGACGACAGGGACGTATTGATTATGTGGGCGGTGATTCTTACTGGTGCGTCGTCCTTCAAATCGTTTTTCAGTTTGACGAATGTTCTCGCTAATTTCACAGACTCGGTGCTTCCAAAACCTTGCTAAGGCTCAATGGCCTTCAAATGATATCGTGCGTGCCAGAAGTGCGCTGTACAAGAGAGTGTCCACTGATTTTCAAAGCTCTCTTTTTCCACTTGCAGTTCCTGATGTCAAAAAACGGATGGAACCTAGACGAGTCCTCCAGAAATAACTTTAAAAAAATCAGTACTTGGCAAATGAATGTCGATAATCGGCACAGCATTAAACATGACTTCCATACTGTCTACACAATGTCAGGGACCGGCCGATCAACATAGCTCCGACCATCAGAATACTGCCAAAGAACTTGCTCTTCTTTGGAGATCCCCTATTCAAAATGAACTTGAGTCAGCATTCTTTAAACACCGGTCACACATCAAAGCCTGAAAAATGAAGCGGGTGCCGCGGCGAATTCCTCGGAAATAAGCAGCTCCTCTGTAGGAATGAGGTATACAAAGCTTCAAGAACAACTCATTTTTACCATATTTCCAGTTCGAAATAAAGATGATAATTTTCCCTCTATATTCGAGCGATTTTTATGATCGCAGATAAACCTCTTGAAATTCTCTCCTGAATCGTCTCGTTTTGAAAAAATCACCTTAAAAAAGCAGAAACAAAAGTTCTAAGTTCTATGAGTATTGAGTGCCTCTGTGCCAAAATGGGCTTTTTCAACTAAAGTTGGAGATGAGTTGCATCTTTAGTTACTATTTATATCAAATCAGTTTAGCGCAGTTATATAACAGTGCCTGCGAAGAGCTGATTAGGCCAAGGACGTCAGTTTGACTTGCACAATGAGAGACAGCACCAAACACCAACAGGTTAAAATCATCTTTATGATTGTATCATAGAAAAGTGGCTGCTGACCTAGGGCTATGATTTCTCAACTTCANGGGATGCCTGCTATATCAGCAGAAATGAGGGACAAATGCAAATTAGTCATTATAAAATATTTGACTAGTACGTACGTTTGTTTTGCTGCACGCTTGGAGAAAGGGAGGGAAAGTCATGCTGGATCTGCTTCCCTGTGAAATGCAAAACTAGCCCACGAGAACAACAGCATTGCAAGTCATACTCTCAGGGGACTTATAGATTGAACACTTAAGCCTATGTGAGAGTAGAAAGAAGATGTGCAACAACACAAAGGCCCATTTCTTGATTCATTTCCCATTGTGCGTGCCTTGATATTGAGAGACGAAATGCGTGACGTCAAGATCTATCAAAGGGGCGTGAGCGTTTGGGCAGTCTCACTTGCTCTATCATCTCCGAATTCACTAGAGCTCTCCGTGTTTGTGGAATTGACGTTGGTAGCTTGTTGGATTTCAGCTCGGATCAACATAGTTTGGACTTCGTTGGTTCGATCTGTAACCACTTAAAGATTTTTCTGAATCAAGGGAGACAAGTATTCCGAAAAATCCGAAATCCAGGCTCCGAGAAGCCAGGCTGAAGAAACGCCAAGTTATTTAAAGCCCTCTGATACAGAATGATTAAGTATTCCTGACACAGAATGAACACTTTTTGTTATGCTTATATCACTCCTTGTGTAAAGCAGCCCTTCACCCTGATAGGATTGCTTTTGAACCAGCCGTCATGCTGGCTTCATTTGCGAGGCTGGTATGTCATCTGATTTTTCGAAGTTCAGTTGACACCTTATTCTGAAAGTGAAGTTTGGCAGTCTATAGGCAGTTTTCCTAAATTATGGCAGTATTCAGTGGCACTTTAAACAACCGCAGCCTGTAGTGTACAGAAACAAATCATTTCGGCTCCACCCCTGTTCCACTTGTAGCAATCATTTCCTCTTCACTACCAGGCATGCCCAATTTTAGTCCTTCGTCCCGAGCCAATTCAAAGGATTTTTGAGTTGGATCGATATGTGATCCGTTCCCCAAGCCATGCTCGTCGTAACTCCCTGCATGGTATTATAGTTCCCTACACTCTTACAGACTCGAAATGCAGCCCACTTATTCTGCAGCAGAAGGACGTATCAAATTGAGCCTCCAAAAAAA